GGGTTCAGGCAATTCTCCTGCCTCAGCCTCCTGAGTAGCTGGGATTACAGGCACACGCCACCATGCCCAGCTAATTTTTTGTATTTTTAGCAGAGACGGGGTTTCACCATGTTGACCAGGATGGTCTCGATCACTTGACCTCGTGATCCACCCGCCTCGGCCTCCCAAAGTGCTGGGATTACAGGCTTGAGCCACCGCGCCCGGCCGTATTTATTTGTCTTTAAAGAATTTGAAAGAAGAAAAGAAGTGTATATAATTGTGTTGAGGGTTACCAAGACCACTCCAGGTTTGGCGATTGCTAGGTGGCCTCGCCGGACTCCGCTTGTAGTTATACTCACAACTGAAATTTATTACAGTGAAAGCATACAAAGTAAAATCAGCAAAGAAGAAGGATCATGGGGCAAAGACTAGAGGAAATTAGGTAAAAACTTCCAAGAGTCCTGTCTTAGTAGAGTCACATAGGACCTGCTTAATTCCTTCAGCAGTGTGTTGTTACAGCATGCACAAAATGTGGTCTACCAGGGAAGATCACCTGATTCTTAGAGTCCAGGGATTTTATTGGAGGCTGGTCATGTAGACAGAATTTCAGCCACTGAAATTTCAGACTCCAGAAGCAAGCAAATGTTCAGCATAAGCCATATTGTTTCTGCAAATAGTTTAGACACAATGAGCCACCCTTATAACCTAGTGAAGTTTTAGATCAGTATAGGGAAGTGCTTACCATGCAGGTTCCCAGATGCCAGTCAAAGGTCAACCTTACCACTGGGCCTTCCTACAGAGAGCAAGCTGTATTTGCACAATAGTCTTTTATATCTATTTATATGTTTACCATTTCCACTAGTCTTCATTCCTTCCTACAGAAGCAGGTTACCCTTTAGTGTCATTTCCATTCCCACGAAGAACTTCCTTTAGCATTTCTTGTGGTAGGTCTGCTGATGATGAATTTTTCTTAGGTTTATCTGAAATGTCTTTATTTCCTCTTCATTTTTTAAGGTTAGTTTCATTGGATATAGACTTCCGTGTTGAATTTCTTTCTTTTAGCCCTTTACTGTTTATTTCATTGTCTTCTGTACTTTACAGTTCTTGATGGAAAGTCAGTGCCATTCGTACTTCTTTTCCCTTCCTATATATAATCTTGTATTTGTCTGTTCTCAGACTGTTATAAAGATACTACCCAAGACTGGGTAATTTATAAAGGAAAGAGGTTTACAGTTCCACATTGGCTGGGGAGGCCGCAGGAAACTTAAAATCATGGCGAAGACAAAGGAGAAGCAAGGACCTTCTTTACATGGCAGCAGGAGAGAGAAGTTCAGGCATGGGAAATACCAGAGGCTTATAAAACCATCAGATCTTGTGAAAACTCACTCACTATCCTGAGAACAGCATGGGGAAATATCCCTGTGATCCAATCACCTCCCACCCTCCAAACGTGGGATTACAATTCAAGATGAAATTTGGTTGGGGATACAGAGCCAAACCATATCAAATGTGTTGTTTTTCCTCTCATTGCTTTCAGTATTTTATCTTTATTTTCAGATTTCACAAGTTTGCCTATGGTATACCTGCGTGGTGTCTGTGTGTGTGTGTGTGTGTGTGTGCGTTTTAATGGGACAGAGTCTTGCCCTGTTGCCCAGGCTGGAGCTCAGTGGCACGATCTTGGCTCACTTAAACCTCCACATCCTGGCTTCAAGTGACTCTCATGCCTCAGCATCCTGAGTAGCTGGGATTACAGACATGAGCCACTGTGCCCAACCTCATTTGTTTTTTTATCCTGCTTGAGGTTTATGAACTTCTTGGATCTGTAAGTTGATATCTTTCACCAAATTTGAAAAATTTTAGCTGTTACTTCTTTCAAATATAATTTCTCCTGTCCTTGTAGGACTCTAATTACATATCTGTTAGATTGCTTGGTATCCATTCTCTGAGGCTCTGGTTTTTTAAATTTTTTAGTCTTTTTTATTTCTCTTCTTTGGATTGGATAATTTCTCTAGATCTGTCTTCAAGTTCACTGATGCTGCTGCCAATTTTCTTTTAATTCTTTTCATTGAGTTTTTTTTTTTTTTTTTTTTTTTGGAAACAGAGTCTTGCTCTGTCACCCAGGCTGGAGGGTGATGGCGTGGTCTCGACTCACTGCAACCTCCACCTCCCAGATTCAAGTGATTCTCATGCTTCAGCCCCCTGGGTAGCTGGGATTACAGGTGTGCACCAACATGGCCCACTAAATTTTGTATTTTTAGTAGAGACAGGGTCTCGCCATGTTGGCCAGCCTGGTCTCGAACTCCTGACCTCAAGTGGCCCACCTGCCTGGCCTCCCAAAGTGCTGGAATTACAGGTGTGAGCCACCGCGCCCAGCCCCAGTGAATTTTTTAGTTATTGTACTTTTAAGCTCTAGAATTTCCATTTGGTTCTTTTCATAGTTTCTCTCCTGAGGTTCCCTATCTACTTACTCATTATATGTATGTTTTCTTTTAAGTTCCTGAACACATTTAAGCTGCATTAAAGTAATTGTTTAAATTTAGGTCATTTTAGGGTCTGTTTCTATTCCCTGCTTTTTTCCCCCAGTGTGGGTCACATTTTTCGATTTTGTTCTCCTTGCTGCTGATTTTTTATTAAATAATGGACACCATAGATAATGCATTGTAAAGTGTCTGGATTCTGTTGTATTTCTCTGAAGTATTTTTTTTGTGTTTTGTTTGTTTGTTTTGGTAGCTGGCATTTAACTTAACTGTGTTCAAAATTCCAAACTCCGTATCTCCTGTTGTTGGCAACAGTTATTCTTTGCTGGGTTTTATTGCATACATTTGTAATTTTGTCGTCAGACATGGAATCTAATGGTCAGTTAACAATTTGACTGGGTTTCATATGCAGATTTTGGGGTACCTTCTGTGGCTTCTTCTCTTACAAGATTTCCTCTCTAACTTCTGACTTTCTGGTGATGCAAATTCTGAACATTTTGCTGTAGCTCCTCAAGTCAGGGAGGCTCTGACCTCCTGCCACACCAAGAGATACAGATTGGGTACTGTGCTCTCAGGCAAAAGTTAGACTTGCAAATCTCAGAGTTATAATTCCTGTATTCTAACAGTAGATTCTTCCAAATTCTTCCTGTCTTTCTCCCTCCCCCAAGAACTGTCAGAGATTGTATTTTGTCCGGATTTTGTAATGTGTTATCTGCAGGGAGATTAGTCATGTAATGGGTTCCTAAAATGTACCATATCCATTTGCTGTGCCCAGACCTTTCTGATGGTTTTTTAATGGCCATAAAATAATCTGTTACCTGGGGATAGGTTGGAATGGAATGAGTAAAAGACTGGAGGTAGGGAGTCAGGTCGTAGTAGAGCAGGCAATAAGTATTGTGAAAATCTGTTAGTATTACTATATTAATAGATGAAACACATATAATATAGTTGTTTTTCTACAAAACACAAAATTCTATTTTCTTATGTAAATCTTCAGATTGTTCATTGTTCAGGTTCATTGCTGGAGTTATATTAATGAGATATTATATAGTTCATTTTTAGTTTAACAAACACATTGTTTTCTTCTATACATTTAGAGTTCCATAAAGTGTTGATACTGCTGAAACCTTTCTTGTCTTTTTTTATTCATCCCTGAAAAAATGATGTAAATGGTAAATGAGAACGGGAGAAAAAAATTCAAAATGAAAAACTCTTTTGTAAATAAATTTTTGTCTTATATTAAAGTAATTGAAGATACTTTTGGTTTCTTCTCATCATTTTCTGAAGACCCGAAATTGGCAAAACTGGAATTTATGTAAGAAACTACAAATAAGTGACAGAGAACCCTAAAAGCCTATTGACAGCTACTGTTTCCTTAATGATTTAGTCATGTGACTTGAATTCATGGTACTTGTCTTCCAAATGATAGCATTTGCTTGGGAGATCTTTGAGGTTTAAGAATGCTAAAATGGGGGCCGGGCGCGGTGGCTCAAGCCTGTAATCCCAGCACTTTGGGAGGCCGAGGCGGGTGGATCACGAGGTCAAGAAATCCAGACCATCCTGGTCAACATGGTGAAATCCTGTCTCTGCTAAAAATACAAAACATTAGCTGGGCATGGTGGCGTGTGCCTGTAATCCCAGCTACTCAGGAAAGCTGAGGCAGGAGAATTGCCTGAACCCAGGAGGCGGAGGTTGCAGTGAGCCGAGATCGCGCCATTGCACTCCAGCCTGGGTAACAAGAGTGAAACTCCGTCTCAAAAAAAAAAAAAAAGAATGCTAAAATGGGCCGGCCGCAGTGGCTCACACCTGTAATCCCAGCATTTTGGGAGGCCAAGGTGGGCGGATCACTAGGTCAAGAGATCGAGACCATCCTGGCCAACGTGGTGAAACCCTGTCTCTACTAAAAATACAAAAATTAGCCCGGCATGGTGGCACGTGCCTGTGGTCCCAGCTACTCGGGAGGCTGAGGCGGAAGAATCGCTTGAACCCAGGAGGTGGAGGTTGCAGTGAGCCGAGATTGTACCACTGCACTCCAGCATGGTGACAGAACAAGACTCCGCCCCCCCAAAAAAAGAATGCTGAAATGGTGGAATTTGGGCCAAGGGACTTTTTCTCTGTGTATTGTACTTGAAATTTAGTTTGTTAATTTTAACTTTAGATCTCAATGGGTTAATCTATATGTATTTTTAAAAAATTTTCAAATTTGTTCCCTTTTTTCAGGTCATAAATAAAGTTCATCTTAAGGCAAATCATGTAGTAAAGAGAGACGTTGATGAGCATTTAAGAATCAAGACTGTTTATGATAAAAGTGTCGAAGAGTAAGTACATCATTATATTGTCATCTTTTACATTATTAATCTAAATGTTAAAGATATTTTCACCTGTTACCTGAAGTTTTAAAAGTCTATAGATAAAACTTTAAAAGGACTCATGTAGCTTCAAAGTGGAATTAAGCTGAAAATGCATTTTAGTCTGAAAATATGAAGGCCATGGAATATGATTAAAGTTTATATATCATGAATAACTTTCTTTTTTCCATCTTCCTTTCCTGGTAAATCATGAATAATTTAAACAGAACAAATGTGGATCTACTTGGATGTGGACAGTAATAGACCCAAAAGTTCTCTTCAATTAAGAACTTGTGTTACCGGAAAGAGGTCCTGTTCCAGACCCCAAGAGACGATTCTTTGGTCTCTCACAAGAAGAATTAGAAGCAAAGCCATAGAGTAAAGTGAAAGCAAGATTATTAGAAAAGTAAAGGAGGCCGGGCGCGGTGGCTCAAGCCTGTAATCCCAGCACTTTGGGAGGCCGGGGCGGGTGGATCATGAGGTCAAGAGATCGAGGCCATCCTGGTCAACATGGTGAAACCCTGTCTCTACTAAAAATACAAAAAATGAGCTGGGCATGGTGGCGTGTGCCTGTAATCCCAGCTACTCAGGAGGCTGAGGCAGGAGAATTGCCTGAACCCAGGAGACGGAGGTTGCGGTGAGCCGAGATCGCGCCATTGCACTCCAGCCTGGGTGACAAGAGCGAAACTCCGTCTCAAAAAAAAAAAAAAA